CTTCGGGATCCGAAGGTGGTGGCGCTGGCACCTCGATCACTTGCTGACCTTGTTCCGATTGCTTGTTAAGGACGAATAAGACGTGTTGCTGCCTGGGAGGAGGAACCACGATGGGTTCTGGTCCTTGAGCACCATCAGGAAGTCTCACGAAAATAATATTCCGTTCCAGTTTTGGTTTGGGATCGTACGATGGCCGACGGAAGATGATTGACGGTGGCACGTCATACAAGAACACACGACTGTTCACTTGAGGTGTGACGCAGCTGTCATCCACGTGTCGCAATTGTCAACCGCCACAACCTCCGGCGTTAAATGACAGGCCTGAAGGCGTTGGTAGGTTGTATCCCTGTGGGGCACCGGAAACCGCAGCCACCAACACTAAGATCTTCGAGGAAGGAAGAGAGAGAGAATAGTTCTTAATAACTATGACTACTAGTATTAGTGCTACCTATCTCAACTGTTCAAAATTTTCCTTGATTTCTGGAAATACGTTATTTTGTCTTAAATAAATATTAGTAATGCCAATGGCAATAATGTGATTAATAAGTCTATAATAACAACAGAATCAATGTTGATAGAATTAGTAATCAAGAAAAAAAAGATAAGGTCTGAGGTCTCCTAACTGATTCTTTAGTAACTATACACTTGTGGAGCCATGTATATGTAAAAGCATTTCACAAAAGCATACAGCTGTGAATACTACATTTTCCCGGCGTCTGTTACAAAAACATACACTGAAAATATACTTACTAGTTCCTCGTCACAGTATGAGGTTTGCATTTACTTACCAGGAGCTTCATGTTGGATGTCGATGTCTTCCGAGTGTGGCGTCATATATATATATATATATATATATATATATATATATATATATATATATATATATATATATATATATATATATATACATATATGTTTAGATATAGCTCTTCCTACATGTTGTCTTTCCTTTTTCCTTTGATGCACAAATCATTGTTGAAATACAGATTTCGACAGATTTCTTTGACCAAAGGGCCTATTTCTCACGGGACAGGGAAGATGATATATTTTAGTACAACCATGTCGTTATATCAGTATATCATTATATGTTATGTATATATATATGTGTGTGTGTATATGGATAAGTTATCGAATACATATACCTAATAGTATATATGCACGCGCAGTATAATTATCACACACACACATACACATACATACGCGCGCGCGCGACGACCTTGCCAGTAGCACCATATACCAACACTTATCAACCGCATATTTTTGGATGGGAAGAGAGAGAGAGAGAGAGAGAGAGAGAGAGAGAGAGAGAGAGAGAGAGAGAGAGAGAGAGAGAGAGAGAGAGAGAGAGAGGTGTAGATATAGATATAAATGTCGAGAGGTAGAAGTAGATATAAATATAGATAGATATATGTAAATCGGTAAACAGATACAGATAGATATAAATGTAGATCGGTAGACAGATATAGATATACTGATACTGATATAGGTAGATATAGATTCAGATACTGATATATAGATATATGGAGAGATAGTTATAAATCAGGGATTCCCACCATGGCGGCCATAAAGCAATATGAAAATTATGATCGAATTAAACTGAATTTTATCTTACAGTACCTGCCTATAAAATTCATTATCGGTCACATAATAAAATGGAAATACGCCATTCACAACTAGCAATAACAGATTTTGAAAAGATAACACTCACTTAAGATCATTATGTATTGGACGGAGGCCACAGGATGAAAAAGGTTGGGAACTAGTGATCTAGACAGATATGTATTGATACGTCTAGCAAGAAACAGATACAGATAGCTAGATATAGACACACACACACACACACACACACACACACACACACACACACACACACACACACACACACAGGAGAAGAAAGATATATAGATAGATAGATAGATAGATAGAGATAGATAGATAGATAGAGAGAGAGAGAGAGAGAGAGAAAGAACACTTATCAACACATATTTTTGTAAGCTTGTATGCGGGTCTTACCAAAAGAGATATTTTTTAATAATAAGGAAAAAGGGCCGAAACCTTTATTTAGTGCTTTTAATTGTAGCTTAGTGAGCACTCGAATTCGCTACAGTATGTGACATATATCAGTAGTACTGTCGTTTACTTACAGTTGTAACTGAGGTAATCGACATGATAGTAATGGTGACAGTAGCAAGTGTGATCAGAAATTAGAGTAACAGTAATTATCCTAACTGTATAATATACCAACGCTTATGTTGGATGAGATATTTCGTTTGTGTATAAGATTTATGAGGATATATTACTCAAAAATTTTCAACAGCTTTCCTTTTTTCTTTTTAGATATAAGGAAATGGTCTCAAAAGATGTAACTCTTGTCAAAAATAGAGTTTGGTGGTCGAAGATAAATTTTCACAATTTGTTTTTCTTTTTTTCTTTCCAAACGACACCGACCTCATGTTACACATTGTGAACTTCCTTTCGCTTTCTCGTGTAAACAAAAACAAATACTTCGACATTGGCGGGGTCGGTGTTCATGTGATAATTGTTCAGCTCGAGACAAAAATTAAGAAAAAGAAGAAAACTACAAGAGGAAAACTGACGACAGGATTATGTTTTATGGAAAAGACTCAAAATTTAAAGATTTAGATTTAATTCCATTTGTTACAATGGATATTCTTTGCTGTTACATGCTGTCTGTTTTATTTTGCTTCCAAACCTCCCCTTGTGTGTAAGGGATGGCCGGGGTTTTCCATCAACAGGCCACGCGCTGGATTGAACGCAGATCAGGAAGATCACTAGGCCAACACGCCAACCGCTGCGCCAGCACAGCACACAAAAGGATGTCCAGATAAGTGAGTTGCCTTTATGAAAATTTATTCATTATTTTTTAAAATTAAACCATTGCCATTGTGAACATTAGAATCACGACTATCAGTGCAAAAACATAAACAATGAAGAGAAATGAGTGCCTTTGTCAAATAGCTTATTTGATGTTAGCGATGAACTTCTAAGGAACTCCAAGTATTCAGGCTTCTCTTACTACTATATATGATTAAGTGAGCGACAAAAGCTTTTGTAAACAAATACATTCAAGAGATTTCTGATTATTATTATTATTATTCATTATTATTATTATTATTATTATTATTATTATTATTATTATTATTATTATTATTATTATTATTATTATCATTATTATTATTATTATTTGTAAAATTCATTTATAAAGTCAGGCAATTTGTTACTCCACTCGAGTATAAAAGTGTTTTCCCCGGCAATATATCTTTTATGAAATACACGCAGTAGAAATAGGGGGGAAAACATTCACATGGAGTGCGGCGAATGATTTCTTGACCGTGACTACGTCTTCATGGAACACTTTGTCAAGAGATTTGCTTTTCCTGAGCTCATACTGAAAAACTGTCCACTGTGGGCCGCTGTCTTAACTAGAAAAGAAACATGTACAAAAGACGTAGACGGAAAACGAAGAAGGAAAAGAAAAATGATGAGGAAGATGTGGAGAAGGAGAAGGAAAAGAAGTAGGAGGAGAAGGAGGAGGGGGGAGTAGAAGCAGAAGAAGAACTCTGTTCACGATTCATGAATATTCTTATATCTGAACATGACCTCGGAAGTAGTTTTTAAATTGATCACATACGACGGACACCGTATATTTTATTCACTGACAAAATTATCCGTGTCAAGGTCAAAATTCGTTGATTATAGATAAAATAGCATTTTATAAATGTCGGAAAAATAATAAATAATGCTAAGGACGTGAAATGATTTTAATGCATTTTTTCTCTGTTGTGAAGGTTTCAACATGGTTATGGCCACTGAAGCAGAAAGAAATTAATTCACAGTCGTTATTAAAACATTAAAAATGATAATGAGGATTCTTCAGATAACATACTTTTGTAATCATAAATTTATATAAGCATAATTAAAAATTATTATCAAATATCGGTTTGAGAAAATAATATATGCAGTCTGTTCTTTATGGCACGCTGTAAAGGGTGGAAGGCGAAGGGGGACTATAGCTTCCGCCGGTATTGCCGCCTCCGATTCCGCCTCCAATACCACCTCCGATTCCGCCTCCAATACCACCTCCGATTCCGCCTCCAATACCTCCGATTCCGCCAATACCACCTCCGATTCCGCCTCCAATACCACCTCCGATTCCGCCTCCAATACCACCTCCGATTCCGCCTCCAATACCACCTCCGATTCCGCCTCCAATACCACTCCGATTCCGCCTCCAATACCACCTCCGATTCGCCTCCAATACCACCGATTCCGCCTCCAATACCACCTCCGATCCGCCTCCAATACCACCTCCGATTCCGTCTCCAATACCACTTCCGATTCCGCTTCCAATACCACCGATTCCACCTCCAAATCCGCCTCCGATACCACCACTAGAACCTCCACCGCCACCACCTCCCACAATTTGACCGCCACCTTGAGAAGCAGCACCAAGCGCCGTTTGGAGGTCTACTCCACCAGGAAGAGTTGGGTTCTCTCCTTCAGCGTAGTTTACGAAGAACACTTCGGGATCCGAAGGCGGTGGCGCTGGCACCTCGATCACCTGTTGACCTTGTTCCGACTGCTTGTTAAGGACGAATAAGACGTGTTGCTGCCTGGGAGGAGGAACCACGATGGGTTCTGGTCCTTGAGCACCATCAGGAAGTCTCACGAAAACAATATTCCGTTCCAGTTTAGGTTTAGGAACGTACGCTGGCTGACTGGAAGAAGCTTGATTTGGCGGCACGTCATACAAGAATACACGACTGTTCACTTGAGGTGTGACGCAGCTGCCATCCACGTGTTGCACTTGTCCACCGCCACAACCGCCGGCGTTAAAGGATGGGCCGGAGGGCGTTGGTAGGTTGTACCCCTGTGGTGCAGTGGATGCGGCAGCCACCAGTCCTAGGATCTTTAAAAAAAAGTGTTTCTTTAGAAGACAAAATAGAACTTAACACGTAAGACAGCATGAGCTTTGCATTACTCACTAGAAGCATCATGTTGGTTGTCTTGTCTTGCGATCAAATGACACCACATATATACTGGTTGGCATTGCGCCTCCTACGTGCTGTATTTCCGTTCTCAATAAATACACAAATCATGGTTAAGATTCCAGCATGAATCAAGAAATCCTATTTCTCACAAGGAATGCTGTGAAAGTGGTAGATGATATAACTGCACATACATGTGTGTATGTAATATGTGTGTGTGTGTGTGTATGTATGTGTTTGTTTGTGTCGTGTGTAATACATACATACATATATATATATATATATATATATTAATATATATATATATATATATATATATATATATATATATATATATATATATATATATATATATATATATATATATATATATAAACACATACCGATGTACCCAGATGATGCGCACATACATATGTGTATAAAAGAGACACGCACACACATATATATGTTTTATATATGCACATAATATATATATATATATATATATATATATATATATATATCATATATATATATGTATGTGTGTGTGTATGTGTAAAAATGTGTATATGAATACATACATTACCTAATATATATAATACGAATAAGTGTGTTTAAATACAAACCTACACAAACACACAATACTCAGAGAAAACACACAGACATACACACATACAAATACATATGTGTGCATGTGTGTGTGTGTGTGTGTGTGCGTACTCAAAGAAAACACATATGCAAAAAACAAATATATATAGATATCAATACAGATAGATACTCGTGTGTGTGTGTGTGTGTGTGTGTGTGTGTGT